CCTCCGAGGGGTCCCTGGGAATGGTCTGCGTCGGCTTCAGCGCCTCTCAGATCTGAGTTCTTCTGGCCCGATGTTTCCAACTGATTGTAACAAAGTTAAGGAGTATTTTGTGTTATTCTGATGGTGTATCTCTGGGAAAGGTAGCAGGTGGAGAGGTAAACTTTAATCTTGTGCAGCCAGAGCAATATAGTTGATTGCATCCCAAGATTTATGTTGGTTTTGGTGACTTTTTTACACTTAATGTGGGGTTGATATCAGCAATTTACAAGATTTCTAAATAAACATAATCCTTGAAGTACATCTTTTCGAAAGTTGCCATTAGCTGCTCAGATTTGCAGTAACATTTCTGTAGAACTTGCTGTATTCTAATGTTTTAAAGCAGAAATGCGATCAGTCAAGTGTATTACTGTGTTATTTGTTTCAGGTATGTGGGCACATTCGATGACAGTTCAGGATTACCAGGATCTCATAGACAGAGGATGGCGAAGGTAATTTTAAAAAGAAATACAAAGCCGTGTTGTCAGTTTAGATTCAATTTAGAATCCAGATTTAAAATATAGGTCTGTGAAAACAGTAGGAGACCCTGCTTTGTCACGGGGGTTGGACTAGATGACCCACAGAGGTCCCTTGCAACCCCTACCGTCCTGTGATTCTGTGAAATAGTTTCTGTAAGTAACTGAAATAGAAGTGTTTGTCCAATGCTGTGCGACTTTTTGTAACATGGCACTGCCAAACAGGAAAACAATTGGTTATTTTAGAAGGAGGGTATTTTAGTATAGCAGCAAAAAGCTGAAGAACTTACTGCTTGACTTTTGTTACTCGTCATGTAACATTTTAATACTAGTTTAACAAAGAAGGTTGGTCTGCCATTTATTTTGTAGTATAAGCAACAGAAAATCAATATGTATTTATTATTATTTTTAGAAGTGGAAAATACGTCTACAAACCTATAATGAATCAAACGTGTTGTCCTCAATACACAATAAGGTAAGAAGCTTAAGATATGCTACTGTAAGTGATTTGACAGCTTCAAGTATGTTCAGCCATTTGTGTTTACTACTTTAAGTACAGAATACTTGATAAGTTTACCTAGTTTTAATGATACTTGGAGTGCTAAATAGATGTTGTTGGGTTTGTGCACAGGCACATCAGCGTCTCAGTGATGTTTTCCTGTAAGCAACCCACTAAGTGTGTACCCTTACAGCCTTTTGCTTCTGAGTCGCAGTCCAAAGCGAGGGTCCTGCAATTGCTTTCTTGCTCACTGGTTGCAGGTGACCCGGGGTGTTTGTTTCCCACAAACACTGCTTTAGCAGCCTGAATAAGAGAGGCTGCCAGTTGAATAGTGTGAATAATTGTAGATACGCTTTTCCGACCTTAGATGTTAGTATCAATGCTGTATCTATACGATGGTAAGTGAAAAATTCTAATGTATTAGCCTCCTAGGAAAGTGTGTTTTCTTATGCAGTACTTGAGGTCACCTTGGCATATTGCAGTGATTATAGTGATATACACACAAAACGTGCCATGAAAAATGACGTTATGCAGTACAAGGCAATATAATTTTATTAAGTCAAAAGCACTGATAAAATATTTGACTGCTTAGTATAGGGAAGCCTAAGAAATAGTTAGAAAACATATATACAGTGTAACGTAAACGTGGTTCCTTAGCATTTTTTCTGAAATAATCTTTCACAAAAGAAATTATCATAATTCTTTCTTTTTAAGGTGTCAAGCTTTGCATTTTCAGTCCTCCAAATCTCACAAGAAAGTTCTGAAGAAAATGTTGAAATTTATTTCCAAAGGAGATGTTTTGAAAGTAGCGAGCGAAGGTAAGAAATTCTTAGTGTTTGAAAACCAGTACTGATGTTTGAAAGGAGGATCAAATATCTGCATGAGGGATCGAATGGCTAATATGCTTTGATTTTTGTACAGAGACCCTTGCAGAAAGGTCTGGCTGGGTTGTGTCTTTACAGTTTGTTTCGAGTCAAGAGCGCTGCGTAACCCAGAGACCAAACTGTGCACTGGACTTGCTCTGTTGAAGAACATGTTTCCGCACCTTTTGTGTAGACCGGCTTACTTTCTTTTTCATCTCTGGGCATGTGCTTTACTTTCTAGCAGGGTGCTGTAGAGAATTAGACCCTGTTCTTACCTCCATGATGAAAGTGATAATCTGGGGAGGGCTGAGTAGGACAGTGGGTGGCAGAGGAAAAGAAGAGCAAGCAGGGAAAGGAGGCTCTTTCTTCCAGGTGACTGAACAGTCAGACTCCATTTATCCAACACCAAAACCAGCTATTCTCAGTCGTGGTGGAACTTGTTGTGTCGGTTCCGAATCATATTTTGTATGTGTTGGTATTTTTGTGTCCTTGTTTTTGTTAATTTGAGGTTATGGCATGAGATTAGTTGACTGCTCCATTTTAGTGGAGAAAATAAGACTGGTCTCATAAATGAGTTGGTGCTAGTAATTCAGGGTCATAAAGGAAGCTTTCTGTTTTCAGACTATTGCAAACAGTCACTTTGTTGGAAAACAGTTGTAAAATTCTAAAGAAGTTAATTTAATATTAGTGTTAATTGTGCAAAGTGTGAGCTGAGGTTATACAGCGAGAAATTAACTCATGCAGTTTTTTATTATTTACAGAAGAGCCAATGGATTCCCAAATAGAAGACGTGGTTGCGTGTGATTTTGCATACAAGAGTGAATCTCTTGTCAGTCCATCTGAACTGACACCCTTGAGTGTGGATCACACAGAGAGGGTGGAAAATGAAGATAAGGACACGGGAGAATCAAAAGAGGTGAACGAGCGGACGGGGGAATCGGGTTCTCTTCAGATACCTGCAGATAAAGACGCACCAGTCCCTGGAGGACCAGCACCTTCGGCTAAAGCTGTTCATGCACCACCTAAGCCAGGTAGTCAATTTTCTGGTAGTAATTGGGATGTACTATCATGATTTTGTGTGTTGTGGGAGACCTTTTTATCTTGCCTAATAATCCAATAATTGTTTCTTTTTATTCCCTGTACTCCTGCCAATTTATGGAATTCCAGTGTATGAGAGGTGCTGTGTATTACTTGTTTTCTTAGTTTTTCTGGAAGATTGCATTGATTTTTTTTATGTTAGTTTTTTTACTTTAGTTGTTGACAATACGTATCTACAGCTGATAGTTTTCTGTAAGCTGTTTAGATTGCAGTCGGGTAGGTCAAGGTGATCGAATCTCCTCGGGCGTTGGGACCAGTTTCCAGTTTGGGATAGTTTTGTGCGCGGGATGAGATGCACATCCAGCTTCCCCTTCTGCTGTAAGATGGGATGACTCAGGCTTTGTGTACCTTGAGGTATGGTTGTGCAAGACAGAGCGGGACGCAGCTTTGGCTGATGCTGCAGAGTGCTAGTTAATGAGTTAGGTTAAGGCTTAACCTTGATTCTTGTGCAGCAGCAGGAAATCAGTATAAGACCCAACAAAAATGCCCTAGGTATTGTTTTTACATTTATTAATTTCTGCAGGTCATCTTGTTGTTATACAAATTGTGAATAACTTATTTCAGGCTGTATTTCTTATGCTTTCAGAGACTATTTGCCACAGACCTAACTGACATTGGAAACATGTCAGTATATTATTGTGTTTTTATTTCTTAGACTTAAAGGTAATTGTATTGCTTGCTGCTGGTTTGGGGGGGGGGGGGTGGAGGGGGGAAAGGCAAGCAAAAAATCAAACCCCAAAACCCTACAAAACTAAAGTCTAAGATACTTCTGGTCCCCTGTAAGGAATGACATTGTCTAGTTGAGCTTTTTCATCTGTTTGGGAGCTTGCCTTGTTTTAGGTTTTGGAAAAGTTTAGATTAGAAAAGCAGTGTCAGAAGAGATGTGAAATTATGAAAAACTGTAGTAATTCTATTTTTTTCTTTCTCTGAACTAAATATTGCATTTCTTTATGGAAGTACAGTAATTATGTACAAGAAGTAAGGCAATCATCCTCACTTTACTTTCTGATGCATTTATACAGTGCTGCAGCTCTCATGTGCCAAAGCCTGAAGGTAAAAGCTTATTCATTTCTAGATCAATCCACATCGAATATTGGTGGCCTTTTTACTATAATACTAATTTTAGTATTATGGTCACTTTTTTCAGTATGGAAGTTATCCCTCTGTCAAGGTTTTGCATTGTAGTTGTAAAGTTTTGCCTTTGGGCTGAATTGGAACATGAAATCCTTACCCTAAAAAAGGATCATCTCATTGTCAGTCATCTGACTGTAATCTTATTCGTGTGTTAGCTGTTATGGTACCCCTTGCTCTGGCCTGAGAGCCTGGAACCTACATCTGCTTGCAGTGGTGTTAAGCTTTTCGCGTAGTTTGTAGTGACAGGGAAGACCATATGTCAGAGCTGGTGGGTGATCCTCTGCGTGGTGTCATCATGCAGAGGAGTCCTTGAGAGTCCCTGAGGAAAAAAGAAACGCTGGAAACTGCTGCTAGCAGGACGTGCCTGCAGGGTGCTGCGGGTTGCCTCTCCTGCAGCTTCTCCTGTGTCCCAGCTGCGTTCTCATGGGACATGGGCGGTTTCTGGAAGGGAGATGGTAAGGAGTGGGTGGATTAGTGCCAGAATAATTCATTTAACCAACAGCCTGCCTTGGAAAAGAGGGTGGAATTACTGACAGGCTCTTTGTGGCCCAGAGATTGCAGATGAGGCAGCCTTATCTTACAGATTATGTTTCCAGTTTTGCATGGCCTCTACGATGGCCTGTTCAGAATAAATAAAGGGTTTTTTTCTGAACTGCAGTTAGCTGATACATGGCAAGTCACGTTAGTTAAAATCCACGTGGAGACTGGAGACTTTAGAGTTTCTGCATGTGTTGGGGCATCATGCTAATGCCGAATTTCACTCGCCTATTACGTGTTGTGCCAGTATTTACAAGAACTTCAAAGTACTTTCTCCTTCACAAAGATTTTTGTCACCCTCTGTAGACTGGCTAATTTCAAGTAAAAGAATTTTGTTTTGTCCTTAATGAACACTCATTCTGATTGGTTCAGGTTTTCACCAGCTTGATAAACAATTTTGCGTCTAAGCAAAAAGGAAAGTTTTCTGAAATGCTTGATCAGAAAACCAGTAGTGCTGCATAGAAGCAGTATTGTTACATGTTCCTGGAAAACTTGTCCAGAATTTTTATTTTGTGTTTGGATTTTATAAAATGCAGTCAAAATTTTTAAAGCACTCACAGTTTATAGTTTATGTAACTTCTATTTGTTGCTCAATTTTAAAAAACCTTCTTGTTTTTTTTAATAAGTAATGAAAAACTTTGGGTTACATAAACTTCATTTTGGAAGCAAACTACGTGGACGTTAACGGCAGATGGCAGTCTTGGGTAAAGATTATGCGTGTAAACCTGCCGTTGGTTTGAAAAAGGTGAGGTATGGTCTGCAGTTACCTTAAGGGTAACATTGGGTAAAACTTTAAACACTGGAAATGCAGATAAAGAAAGCTTGAAACATTGTACTCTGTTTCAGAAAAAAAGGTTTTACTTTTATAGAGCAGAAATATTCATTAGTGTGCTTCTTTCTGGAGGTTGCAAGTGAAATATAGAAGTGAATAATATATGCATCAGAAAGCTTATTTAATTCATATTTATTTTTTTTTTTCGGGTAGATGGTGTTACAGGTCAAATTTAGTTTAAAATTGTCCAGATAGAAAGATGTTTAGTTTTTGTCTTGGAAAACGTAGACTTCTTCCTTAATAAGATTGTTTAATTGCATTTTTATTCCTTTATAAATAAAACAGGTCATTGTCCTGTAGGAATAATGGGCTATTTCTGCACAGTTTCAGATAGAAAAGGAGGTTTGCTTATGTCTATATGTACACTCATTGTTTTAAGAACTTTTTTTCTTGCTAACTTACAGCTTATAGAAGATATGAGACATGAAACAGATCCTGATACAGATGAAGTACTCAAACGTTCTTCAAATGTATCATGAATATTTTAAATAAACTCTTCCTGTGACTGGTCTGCCTACAGGCAGGTCACATAATGTCTGTAATTTCCTCATAATATTTGTCCTTTTCTGGTGAATAATTTTAGCTGTGTTGATGAAACAAACACTCAAAAACCATAGCTGAGAGGTGAGAACCCTCGAGCATAAGATCTGGTAGTGCAATTGCAGGATGTCTGAAGAGTGCCAGAGTGGTATCGGCTCCCTTTCTGAGTCCCCGAGATGCTCTCGGCATTTCAGCAGTCACGGAGTCTATGTGGAAAAACCACGCTGGGACTTTACTGGGTGAGCCACGAAGAGCTTGCTGCTGACTTGCCCCAGGAGTACACTTATAAACTCTAACTTCTGTGTGGTATGTACATGAAAAAGAGTAGTTTACAGCCTTACTGATATTTAGAAGTTAAAGTATTTCACCAATTTCTATGATGTATCTGTTGGTAAAGACAGATTCAGGCAGCGTCTCTGAGGGCTGCAATTCTTTGTGGGTGAAGTGACTCTAAACACAGCAGTGAGCTTTCGAAATGTCGGTGCTCTCCCCATTTCCAGTTTGCAGAAGGACACTGGTGTTCCCGTTGTCTGTCGGAAGGTCTGAAGTGCGTAGAGGACGAGAGAGGTGTCAGTTTTGGCTGATAACTTGCTGGTGAGGAGGGGGAGGAGGAGGAAAGAAAGATCTAACTACGTTTTCATAGGAGATCTGGAAAAAACAATTTCCGTGTAATTTCCAGGCCCTCAAGAGAGTAAAGTGGGATAAGCTGTAGTTAAGTCTGGGTTTGGCTTCTCCTTTACTATTTACAAATATTAACGGAGTTGGAAATGTCGTCTTCCTAATGCTTCAAATGAAAGCACCTCACCGTCCAGGGTACTTTCGCATTTGAAGAGCTAAGCCTTTCAGAAGTTGCCAGTGTGTCTTTTGCAAATACATGGATTTCAGGAGAAGGCTAATGGCATAAAACACTTCTTCAGCAGTTTGTCATAATACCTGTTACAGATTTGGTTCTGTGCGAGATCTATGACTATATTTCCCTATATGGGATTAGTTTTTTCCACTCTCCCGCTTTTTGGAAATTTTTAATATTATGGCCCTCTTTCGACTTCCAACTTATCTACTGCTGCCCTAAAAAGTAATAAAAAAATGCAGAATTACGGTTACTTTGTATTTCATTAGCTGGCTGCTGATGTAATTTTGGGTGCAGCTTTCCCTCTGTGTGGAACCTGCAACAGCAGCTGCTAAGCTGAGACGGGTATTCCTTAAAAACTGATTATTTCTTCCACCACTGATTCCAGCAGTGCAGCACAGTCGTACAGCTCTTACACAGCTTCTGGAGTGAAGTGTGATGTTCAGTTACTTGTGTGTGCTACATGGAACAGCCAGCAATGATGTACAAATTTTAGGCAGAACCAAGAGTGTTAGGAAAATGTTTCTTGCTTTTTGTAATTCTTCCAAGTTTGAATTTATGGATTTGCAATCGATATCGATTAAAATTATACTGTCTAAGGAAGTTGCTACTTGTAAGTAGATGATTTGTTTGGTAACCATAGTTTCAGTGCATTTAGTGGGTAGCATAGGGATTTTTTTATTGAAGAAAATTCTGCATTCATTTTTCTAGTACTAGCATTCTCATATCTTGACCTTTTATCTTCCGTTAGTGTTGTAAGTATAAAAGTAATTTGACCCCTTCATTGAGAAAATTGGACCACTTGATTTTTTTCATTTGTGCATATCTTTGGATTTGTGTTTCTTTAAAGCTAAATTCTTGTAGTACTACGTATTATTTTCCATGCTGATCCATTTGTTTTCTAGGTTTGACTTTAAGAGAATAACAGTTCACAAATAGAACGTTATGAACACTTGATCTGTTAAAGGTAGAGGTACATTGATAAAAGTGAATTGATGAGTAAAAACACACAATCTGAATATAATTTTAAGCAAAGGTAGAAGCTTATGTGGCCTCTTACTCTTCTTTTACATGACATTAGTGGTGTTGGTGGTATTTCTATGTACTGCATAAGGACTTCAGATGACAAAAAAATCAATGCTTTTTTTAGCGCGTTGGTCTTCTGCAGGAGTCTGTGTACCTGCCTGGGTTTCTAATGCAGTAGAACAATTCTCTGTGAATTTGGCTGTGAAGTTTTGTAGTTTTGGTGTGTTTTTTCTTTTCAGTATTTTGTCTTGATCCTGTAGCTATCTGGATACAGCACATCATCGTACCATATATTCAACAGGAGCTTTTCTTTGTTTCCGAGAGAGGGATGTGGTGTAATGATTTACAGATGGACTTTCAGACTTTTTTACAGACAGGAAGTATTTTCATTTTAATTTTTAAATAGAACCTTGGCTCTGGGGTGGAATTGTGGTCAAGGTGTTTCCATACTAAAGTGCTGCATTAAACAGCTGTAGAGGAAAAATCATTGCAACTTAGCTTGGCATCAGGCGCTGTTGGTAGTTGTAAACGTGAAAGACCATGTTATGTTCAGACCACAGTCTGCAATTAATGGTGATTTTGATGATTTCTATTTAGTGATTAGGAAAGAACTACTTTTTTTGCAGAATGCAGTGGTTAATTCTTTGCCTGTGCCCTTGTAGGGAAAGGGGCTGATCTGAGCAAGCCACCGTGTCGAAAAGCAAAGGACATACGGAAAGAGAGAAAACTGCAGAAACTCCTTCAGAACCAAACATGCACGCTTGAAGGCTCTCAACGTCAAACAGGAGATCAAGTTTTCCTCTCACAAAACTCTAAGTCTAAAACAAACCAACCTAAAACCATCGAAGACTTCATTTTTGTCTCTCTGCCTGATGATGCACCACACAAATTAGAGGTAATGTCTCGTTCAGTGTTGTTGGAGGTAAATTAAGGAGAAGTCTAGTTAAGGAGTTTTGGAAATGCTGAGGTGTTTAGTATCCGTGACTGCATGGAATGGTTGTAGTTTAAATCTTGGAATATATGTGGTGCTGCATGAGATATATGTGGTGCAGCTGAGCTCTGTGTAACCACAAGAGGGTACTCCTGCACTTGCAGTCAGTCATAGCAGAGCCTAGTGCAGTTACCGAAATAATTTGGAAAGTAATTCATACAGTATAACTTGAAAATGAAACACTTTGAATTAACCAAGTGTTGAATGATGAGAGAGATTCAATATTTAGTTCTGCAGTATATAAATACTTAAACTATCCATGTTAATGAATCTTGACAAGAAAGCGGTAACTGTTAATAAAATGAAACAGATAAGATAGCTGCTCTTTATAAATGTCGTTGGTGTGTATTGATGTCTTTGGAAGCTGTAAAAGTGATGGTAGAAAATTTTGCTTAATATACTGGTTGCCACTAAATCTGTTAGTAATATGGAGATAGTCATCTGGAAGACTTTTGAACTTTCTAACCCATAAACCCATTTTATTTGTTTGTTTATTCTTTTCTGGAAGCTGGAAAACTATCAGAATATAAGTATTTTCCTGGAGTTACTATTATTACTGGTGGTATTGGAAGTTAGATTTTTAGTATTCTTTTGGTGATTATTCAAAGAGGTAGTGATGATGGCTTAAAAGATTTGCCCTGAATAACTGACAAGAAGCCATGAAATTGATCCATCTCACTAACTCCTCTGGATTTTCTGATGAGTTGTATAACAGAAGTGTGATGGCTTTGTCCGAACACCTTCATTTAAAAGATGCAGGGAGAATTAAAGGTTCCAGCAGTGTTTTCCCAGACTGTCTTTTCTCCTTACTATGGCTGTCAGATGTGATGTTTTGTTAGGTTCTTTTTGTCCATCAGAACCAATCCTATTTGTGAAAATAGAACTGTACTGTAAATCTGAGTATTTTTTGAAATGAACTTGTCCTCAAATATGCTTGAAAAGAAATGCAGTGTTGCTAATGTGATAGCATGCTTTTGGTTAGGGAGCAATCATTTTTGCTAAGAACAATTTTTAATTTATAGATTTTTTTAATATAGTTTATTTTTGTGTAAGTGTGCTGGTGGGGAAGACCAGTAGCTTCCTATTACAATTAACTCGTAATGGAATATGGAAACATTGTTTCATGTTCCTCTTTCAATTTGAAAAATATCAAGAAATGCCCTTGTGATTATTGCAAGAAATCATAGTCTTTATCTAAAGAGCATGAATACGAGTCTTCCAAATGTGTGAGTCTTTCAAATATTTTTCAGTATAGTGTGAAACTGCAAGAGAAGATTTGTGAAAGTACAGAAAATCTCTTTAAAACATTAATCTGCATACCATTTGTTATTATTTCCTGAAAACTAGTTGTATAGTTCTTCTATGGGCATTTTTGTCATATTAATTTTAAGTTTGAAAACCTTATATGCTTTTCATTGTAAATATAAAAGCCTTTGGTAGCCTAAATTGAGCTGAAGAATTGGAAGGCTATTGGCTAATATTAATTAAATTAAGGCCCTTGTGCAGGAATTCAAAATTTCTCGCTGTTGTGAGGTTTGTATATGTGTAAATATCTAGTTATTGCATGATATTGTAATAATAAATGTGTTTTAACTTTTTCTGAAGGTGAGGCTGGTGAGATCATCTCCACCAAGTTCACAGTTCAAAGCCACATTTCAGGAGTCTTACCAGGTCTATAAACGTTACCAGATGGTTATTCACAAGGACCCACCTGATAAACCGACTATAAATCAGGTCAGAAGGCCAGATGAATTTTATGCAAAGCTCAGCTTCCTCTCCATTTCATGTGTCGTGTTTCTGGGAGAAACAAATATGGATTTTATATCCATTGTATACTCAGGAGCATGTGAAATACTGTATCAAATAAAATCAACATCCCGAAAGTGCAAACTCTTTAGATACATCTTTGCGAGTGCCACAAATATTTGGTCTTAGTTGCAGACAGAGGAGTTAGGGAAGTTACATGGGTATGCTATTGGATAAGAGATGGAGAGGGTGAGGCTTTTGGAGGTAGATGGTTGTAAGCCTGATAAATACAAATCTCATAAGAACTAAAACCAGCTGGACGCTTACTCTGATAATTAGTCTCATTGGCTGTAGTTTGAACGCTTCCAGAATGAGGAACAAACATGATCAGGGCCAACATGCGAGTGAAGAGTTTATCACACATACATGTTGTTGGTTTAAGGTTCACAGAAGTTGTATAAACCTCTTCACTTTCAATTTAAGCCCTGCAAGATGTAATCTGTGCACTCCACCTACGTTACACATAGTTACTGCTTCTTGTAATGACCAGGCAGTGTGAAATAGTTAACTGTCAGACACATTACCTCTCTAATACTATGAAGAAAAAAATTCAGGAGTTTGGAGGGGAGGAAGAAGTGTGTGTATCAAGAATATGTAATTGCTAAACCAGGACAGTGAGGGATGTGCCATTAAAAATAATACGTTTTAAAAGTCCTTGAGACTATACAATGAAAATAAAATTTGTGGTTGTTTTGTGAAATAACTTGGTCAAAAAAATAGGTTGAGTAAACTGATGCTTTGGAGTGTTCTAATGTCATGCAACTTTTATTCTTTAATCAAAGTATGAACAGTCAGGTTAAGCTTAGTGTTAGTTGTCAGGCTTTCCCCGCAGGAGGATTTTCTTGTTACTGTGTTTAAAGTAGAAAACTGACTTCAGAGGCTTTGAAGTGGATAGGAGATCTTTCACTAGCCTTACCTTCAGAAGCGTATTATCTGCTTATATGCACTCAAAACAGTATGCTTGTATTTTCCTTGCTCTGAAGGTGAGGTTAGTACCTGTCTCCTTTGAGGACCCACAGTTCAAATCATCCTTCAACCAGTCAGCCACTTTATTTGCCAAGTATCAGATGGCTATACACAAGGATGCACCTTCTGACTGTGGTGAAAATGAGGTACAGTTCACTGCATGCACCTTTATGAAAACATTTTTTTAATGCACAGTTAAATGATGGGCAATGGTGTCTCTTAGGGTGATTCTAAATGCTAAAATATTGGAGTTTCCATTTGGGAGGGAAAATTTTGTGGTTTTCAGCCAGCTTGTGTTGGAAACTTCAGGGGAAACAGAGCTGAAGAAATAGGGATTATGCGCCATCATAACTAAAAAAATAGTGTTGGTATGGAGTTAAGTAGAGCTGTTGTTTGTATGTGATTTGTTAAGAGGTTTGGGACTGAGGTGTTTCTGCTGGAAATGAAGTTATGGTATGGAAGTGCATCTTTGATGGCGAAAGCATCTTCTGCTCTAAAGCTGTTTGGTACCTTTTCCACATTGCTCCTTAATTTTTTGTTGTCTTGATTAATTTAACAGGTGAAGGTTTTAAAAATCTCGATTTTATTCACGTTTCATTGCTAAGCATACCTCTCAACTAGAACTCACCTTTGCAGTAGCAATAGTGCAGAAATGTTCCCACCAGGTGATTGCCTGAGATTCAATGAGAGTACATGGCATATGAATAAACCCTGCTTTTAAAATAGTGTTTACAGGATGCTAATCCTAATCTAATAAGCAAAAAAAAAGCCTCGTAGGATTCTAAACAAACAGCAATTCTCCATTTCTCTGGCAGGTGGCACAGTATTTTCATTAGTAGAATTAATAAAACTGCTGCCTCAGATCTGTCATTTCTGTCTACTGCAAATGTATGACTTCAATATTAATCAACTATCTAGTCAGGCTTTTCTGTTCTTGAGAGCAGTACTTGTAGAAGTGATACCTAGTGAGCTGTGGCTGCTTTCCAGGTAGAACAATAAAACCACATAATCATTTTTGGCTCTAGTTCAAAAGAGTGTAAGGAGAGCCTTTTTGTGAGATCTCTGTAATGCTACTGTGGAAAGCCATAAAATTTATTTCACTTTGTTTTGTAAAAGAATAGGGCTCATAACAATAAGTGGTAGTGTCTGCCTTTTTTATAATTACTGACATAAATTGAGTTAATTATACAGTAAGATGGAAATTGGAAACATGCCAAGAAAGATTGAGCTATTTACTTGATTTCTATCAGCCATTACCTGGCCTGATTAGGGACTTGATTTGTCTGCTACGATGAATGTATTTCAGCCCTAATGCTTCCATATAGCGTATATTCCACCATGCTTTTGCTCTGAAAATCTTCTTGCTCCAGAGAGGGTGGAAAGACCTCCGTATATTTACTAATTACAGAATCACAGAATGGTAGGGATTGGAAGGGACCTTTGTGGGTCATCTAGTCCAACCCCCTGCCGAAGCAGGGTCACCTACAGCAGACCGCAGAGGACCTTGTCCAGGTGGGTCTTGAATATCTCCAGAGAAGGAGACTCCACCACCTCCCTGGGCAGCCTGGGCCAGTGCTCCGTCACCCTCAGAGGGAACAAGTTCTTCCTCATGTTCAGACGGAACTTCCTCTGCTTCAGTTTGTGTCCGTTGCCCCTTGTCCTGTTGCTGGGCACCACTGAAAAGAGCTTGGCCCCATCCTCCTGACACCCACCCTGCAGATATTTATAGGCATTTCTAAGGTCCCCTCTCAGCCTTCTCCAGGCTGAACAAGCCCAGCTCCCTCAGCCTCTCCTCATAGGAGAGATGCTCCAGTCCCCTCATCATCCTCGTAGCCCTCCGCTGGACTCTCTCCAGCAGCTCCTCATCTTTCTTGAACTGGGGAGCCCAGAACTGGACAGAGTACTCCAGATGGGGCCTCACTAGGGCAGTGTAGAGGGGAAAAAAATTCTTCACTTAAAATTGTGAATTTTTAAAATACAATCGTTACATCATGAAGAATCAAGAGCAATATTGCGATGGCTGCTGACAATTCAGTTCTGAACAGCAGTTAGCTCTCAGTTCATCCAATCTCTGTTTGGGTTGTCAGAGTTGTGTGGTTTGGTGGAGGCTTGGGTTTGATGGCCTGAATCACCTGTGGAACTTTGATTTTTAACTGAGAGAGTCTGGGGGAGGAAAGCTTATAAAGATGCATTAAGGACAGTTTGGGTTTCCACCAGCTAAAGATGTAAAGTTTATCATGGGAATTGCTGTTGAATGGGTAAGGGATGGATTTCTGTTTGTACTGCTAATAGTTTAATGGATTTTTATCCTCTTCTTTTTCCTTGTTACTTGCCACGGGTGTTTCCCTACTCTGCCTTTATCTTCTCTCTCTTGCGTCATGTTTTGTTCAGGCTTAGTGTACTATTCCAGAGGAGACATTAGGATCTTCTCTGAAGCTTCTAGTAAATTTAAAAACTCGGTCTGATGCTGATGGCTTTTAGTTTAGGTCCTTCTTTAGCACTAGTTGTCTTGTGTGTTCGTGTGACTATCTGGCTGAGAAGGTCTTTCTATGCACAGTTACTGGGCACTAAAGCTCTGTCACTTCAGTCAAAAGCATTTTGTATTTGATCCCTGCAGGAAGTAAACTGAAGAATACTTTACACAAAATGTATTTTGATGTAGATTAGAAGCCTTTTTTTTGGGTGTTTGTTTTCTTTAAATACTGGATTTGTGTGGCAGGAGAATCGTCTGAGTAACTTTTAAAAGCAAAAGGTGCGGAGCAGGGTAAAACTGATCCGAGTTATTGAGAGGAAGGGTGGAAAATGCTATTTGAAAGACCTCAAACTTTTTCTTCTTCTTTTTCAGCCTTTTTAATATATCATACAGACGTTATGGAGCCAGGCAGTTCTTTAAGTAAAAGTAGAGAGAAATTCTGTCCTGTACACAGGGCTTTTTATCAGGGTAGTAACAAGCCTGTTTTGGGCTTTAAACTGGCAAACATCCAGGATTTTTTTTGCTCTAAATTAAATTTAGCTTTTAATCTGTGTAAGTTAATGTATCTGCATGGTAGGTGAACCTCCTTTTCAGGGAGAGTCCTGCACACTTTTGTATTTGGAAAGTTTCTAGTTTAGGAAAAGTATTTAATTTTATATTTGGCTGAACACTTCATATTCAGAAACCTGTCTATATTTAAATGCAGAATCCAACAAAAAATATTAAGTGACATATTAACAACTTCTTTTTGGAGTATATTCTTAGATTGTTGGCATTACGGTATACTGTCTGCCTATATTAGCTGCTAGACTAGTTTTAATATTAACCTTATGTTAGAAGGCAATTTTAGGAATAGATTTAGAATTGTGGTGATTATTTGAAAATAACATTGACACGGAAAGTTATAAAACAGTTCAGAATATTAACAAAAGGTATATGAACCATGAAGCCGATTATTGCTTAGTGGCTGTGAAAAAGGCCCTCTTTTTGCACCTGTGCGATGTCTTCTACATCTCTTTGTCAAGATTTTATACGAGAAGGGGGAATAGATAGTTTTCAGGACAGGGAATCCATTGAACGCATGACACCAAAGATTCCTTTGAACTTCGGGGCACTCTCTGGTTGGTGCCACTTTGAGACCAGCGGTAACTGGTGTTTCGGTGCCCTTCAGGATGGTGGGTCTTTTTGAATTTTGCTTCTTCCTCCTTACTTTCTCCTCTCCCTCTTCTGCATCTCTGATGGAGACCGGAGTAGCACTAATAATAGTGTGTGTTCATTAACAGGAATTTAGGTTGAGATTTTGCTGGGGAGGGTCCTGCGCTGCATTTTGGTGATGCAGTACTGGTTCCTGATTGAGGCAGTGACTTCTGTTTGTTCTAATAAAAAGCGAGGTAGACATTTCATAATGGAATAAACTTTTTCCAAGTGCCAGAGTTGGTGTTACCCCTGTGGTGATGAAACTTGCCTTCTCTATGGAAGCATCATCACAATCTTCAGTGCTGCTCTCATTGGCAAGCAGAGGATTTTGTAAGGTAGAAAAGTATTTGCTATTGCCAAACAAGTCAGTATTCTAGGAACAGGTTTGAGTATCTCCTTGCTCCTGGAATTAAAACCAGTTTAGCTTGCAAGTGAAAATTTTTCAAATCTGTTTTTATCTTGATGTAAAACTACAACTATTTTCTGCATAGGCCTTTAAGCTATTGATTATCCCCTTTTCTCTGTAGTTTTCCTGGCTAAGTTGAACTTCCCTTGGAAATCTTGTCAACTCTCTCAAAAACCTTTGGTCAGTTGCTGCAGGATTTCAGCTACAAAACTGACCTGGTTGTCTCTCTGCTTCGGAGTGCAGTCAAGTACTGATGTTACGCAAAGTTGTTGGCACTTAAGAATATTTGTGTCAGCATGTTTTTATTGAATTGAATTGGTGTCCTGAGGAAAAACATAGCAAATGATTTTCTAATTAAAGGTTGCTTCATAATACTTGCTCTTAAATAGTGCAGTGGAAGAACTGATTTTTCAGTTTTTCTCTGTGGGAACATAAAACCTTATTAAACTGCTGTGTAAATGCATAGTCATCCACTTGTTTAGTAATATATGTACTTTTATCTTAAAAAGTTGTTGGAAAAAATCAGAAGAATCAGTGGGAACCTCAACAGCTTATTAAGTGGTAAAGTATGAATAGCTTCTGAGTGAGATAAGATACAATCATGGAAAACAGGTATATCACTGCCTATTGGACCAGTTTATCCAAGGCTGCTCCTGAAGGCTTGTGCATGGCATGTGGAAAGAGGGACAGGCCACTTGGGAAGAGTACAGAAACGTAGTGAGAGCATGCAGGGATGCGACGAGGAAGGCCAAGGCTCACCTGGAATTGAAGCTGGCAAGGGATGTCAAAAACAACAAGAAGGGCTTCTTCAACTACATCAGCAGCAAAAGGAAGGCTAGGGACAACGTGGGGCCGCTGTTCGCCAAGTCCCTGAACTGCTCAATTTTTGGAAGCTGTGAAAACATGCAAGGGAAGAATCTGTTCTAGTGTTTATCATATTCTGTGCATTTTTTCTGGTCCTTTATGCAAGTACTGTGTATGGACCTTTTTCTCAGGTCCAAGACAGTAGTTCCCCTGTACTGTTCCCAATATATATATATATATATATTTTTTTTTTTTTTTTGCT